GGTAATGTTCTGAATGAGCGAGTACAAGAGCAGAGAGGGGGCTCGCTACCCTCTGCTTGGGAACATAAAGTAACAATCACAGCACCACGCACTGAGCCCTTACTGGACGTTCTTGTAAGCTTTCATCCCAGGGCTCTGGAGTTTTACTGGGGACTTGTGACTCTACACCTCCTGCCTGGCAAGTACACAGATTCCAGATTCCCAGAAGGAAGCAGCATAACCTATATTGTTTGTACAGAGTTTAGGCACAGCTAATGGTGGGAACCCTCCAGAAACCTGAGTTCCCAGACACCAGCCAAGAGTCATCCTTATAAGCCGACCTTTCAAAGGACAGCAGTCAGGACTACCATCTTACAGTTGTTGTTTTTTTTTTTAAAGATTTATTTATTTATACATATAAGAACTGGGTACAGGCTAGAGATGTGGGGGTGAGAGGAGTCACCAGAGACAGAGTGGGGAACAGAACAGGCAGATTGACTAAAATACACTGCTGAGGGGAGAAGAGGGTGAGTCAGGAAAGGTCTGCTGCACCCATCTTACGGGTTTTTGCACATGTAGGTAGTGTTCTTATTCTCATCTTAAACATGAAGTATCTGAAGCACAGAAAAGAAGTTAGTTGCATAAGACACCATAGCTAGTAAGTGGCATCCACGAGGATCTGCATGGCTGCCTAGCCCATGCCCCAAACACTGCACTATGCTACCTCTCTGATGATTAATGGTAGCTTCTTGGATGAGTTACTAGGAATTTCCAGGGAAGAAAGGAATTCTGAGATATGTGGGACAGTTGTGCAAAGGCATAGAGCCAGGAGAAAGCTTAGTATTTGGGAGAGATGAGTAAGAGTTGTATCTAAAGGGGAAGCAGAGGGGGCCTACAGAGATGACAACAAAGAGGGATCAGTAGTAGAGAGCCCTAAGTTACATGAAAAGGAGGTTGTGCTTCTCCCCACAAAAAATCTGGGGGTGGCAGAAGTCATAGCATCTTTTAAACAAGAGAGCACCATGAGGGCATTGGCCTCTTGGGTGAGTAGTCATAGCATCTTTTAAACAAGAGATCACCATGAGGGCATTGGCCTCTTGGAAGGATAACTGCAGCCTGCAGAGCTGCGTTTTTTTGTGTGTTTCTCTGTCCTTTCATTTGTTTATATGCTAGCTCCATACTGACTCTGTGTGGCCTTGGCCCAGTCTCTGACCCCCTGCACACCTTGGGGTCTTAGGAACAGGATGTGGGATACCTGTCCTGCCCCACTAGGTGGCTGTCCCAGGGTTTTGTGGACGAATCACTATGCAGGACAGCATGCTATTGTAGGAATAGGGGTTGTGGAACAGGGAAGTCCCCAAGTACTAGTGGTCACTACAGCTTCCTGGCCACTGCCTGCCTCAGAGACATTTGTTTTACCCTTAGGAGGTAAGGTCAGCCTGCCTTCGATCAGAGAGATGGATCTGGAAGCCCCTGCTTCAGACAACTCAGAGACTATCCCACGGCCTCCCCTGGGGCCTAGCAAGGACCCAGTTTCTTTCGCACTCCAAGAAAAACTTTCAGAGCATCACAGACTGGGCTTCAGTCCCTGTCTCCAAGTTCTCAGTGACTCTTCTGAGAGGCAGCTGGAGGCTGTGAGGTGGGAGAGCCTGGGTGTGAGTCCCATCTTGCTCTCTTTTCATTGCCTTTTGATCTGGGACCAGATAGTCTGCATAGTCTGGGCCCAGTTTGTCTCTCTGCAAGATGACATAACAATGCCCACCACTGTGAGGATCAAATGAATCAGGTGTCTTCCCTGAGCTCCCAGCAGCAGTGACCTGGAGACCACGCGGGACTGTGACCCGCGGAGGACTCAGCAGCTCAGGGTCCCCGCAGGAAATCTTGTAACTTCTTTCTCAGAAGAACTGGAAACTGAGAGTGTTGGGGTGAGAGGTAGACAGGAAATTTGGGGGAACCTTGAACTGGGCATCAGGACACTGGGCTTTAGTTTCAGCTCTGCCGTGGACTTACTGGGTGTTGAGGAGCAGACTCGTGTCTCTCTGGTTCTCAGCTTCCTCATCAGTCAAATGAGCCTGATCATTTGACCCAGAACTAAGTTTCAAAAGTACAGAATAAAGTTATTTGAAGGCAATAGTAGCACTCTGAAGAGGCAACATTTTCAGCAAGTGCTCAAATTCCCGAGTGATCAAAATGATTAATATCTGAATAGCATGAGTGTGGAAGCGCTTTTAGGAAATTGTCTACCCTGTCACTTTAGAAACCCTTTGTTCTGTTGCATTGCCTTTTCCTTTGTCCCAATCGAGCTTTACTTTTAGGAGATAATTGTCTGCTCCCTCTCCTTTTTAAATAACGTTCTTTAGTTAAATTTAAAAGAAAAATCATGCTTGATCCAGATACTGGAAAATCCCCACTGTTAACATTGTGATCTTTATCCTTTCTGTCTTTTTCTTCTCTGAATATATTTGTTTGTTTGTTTACGATGGGTTTTGTGATGATTTGAGTGACTGAGAGCACAGCCCAAGACTCCTGGTGCACCCAGCCTCAGGGCCAGGGCGGTGGCAAGAACTCTTCTCCAGCCCCCCAGCCCCACAGACCCTCTGTGCAAGGACGGTTAGGGCCTGCTCAGGCTGGCCCATGTGCACTATAGCAAGACCCACAATTCCCTCCTGAAATTCAGGGAGTGGAGGAAATAATAATAAAACACCACCTGTGCTGCCCTCAATTAAGCACTGATTGCAGATTCCAGTATGCCGGACACAGTTCCCTTTGTATCCATCCTCGTTCACAGTACTCAGCAAGTATTTATTAAGTGCCTGCTGTCTTGTACCAGGCACTCTTCTAGATTCTGGGCACTTGGGCAGTGAACAAGTAAGACGGTACGACTTCTGCCCTCATGAAACTAAATTAGGAAAAAAAAAATGTATGTTTCTATGTACATGTATAGGGTGGGTGGGTGGGTGTGCACGTGCCTAGTGCAGTGAGGTAAACAAAGCAGTGCAGAGGTCTGGGGGGATTGGCAAGAGTGGGGCGGGAGATCTATATTTGGGTGAGAAGAGAATGATCCCTGCTGGGGGACGGCTAGTCAGGCAAGTTAAAGCAAAATCTTAGCTAGAACCTATCTGAACCTCCTCTACCAAGAAGGCTAGTATTGTGAGGCCACCTGCCTGGGGTCAGAAACGAGGCCAACGAGGGGTTCCACACCCCAGGCACTGGAAGAAGACACCGGGGTCATTGATATAACCTGCAATGCCTGCTACCCAGGCCTCCCGGCACCCTTTAGGGTTCTCTCCAAGGGAAGGCCCCACCCCCACTGCCTTTCTCAGAGGCCAAATCAGTGTTGCCTTGTGCTCTCACTGTCTCTGGGAATGTTAACAAAATAGCACTTCAAGATAGTGCCTACAGCCCTTACTCACTTTGCCTACAAGGCCTCCAAGGGACTGGACAGTGACACGGGTTATGAGGCTGGGGGTCCAACACATCCAGCTCCTGTCTCAGCTTCCTGCTTCCTTTATGATTGGGCTTCAGAAAAGTTACTTTTGAACCTTGCTTTACCAGCCCACAAAACAAAGATGATAGTACTGTCTTTGTAAGAGGAATAAGATTTACATTAGATAGTGGTTGCAGAGCTCCTACAATAGGAAATAGATTCAGTAGATGTAGGGTAGGTCACAGCTATTATATTTAGCATTTGTACTTCTGTAATATTTGGTTAGCCCTCAAAAAGTCTTCCAGTGTTACCCAGTTGGTCCGACAGTATCCTTGTGAGCTTAGTATTGTCCCCATTTTATAGATAAAGATTAGGAAAGGGTAAGATTCTTAGCCAAAGTTACACAGCGAGACAGTAGCAGAAAAGAATTGAATTTGAGTTTTATGGGTTCAGACACGACAGAAGATGAAAGGAAGGAAGGTCCCCTGGCATGGCTGGACCCAAGAGTTAGCTTTCTACAGTCCCTTGGGTGCAAGTGGCTGGCTGACACCCCTCCAGTTTGTTCAAAATGATTCATTGTGGGGTTTTCAAGTAAGGAGGCAACAGGCTTGAAAATATCAGAAAACAGGCCCCAGTGCACTGAGTGTGATGATGCAGGCACGGTTGAGACCCCAACGGGCTAGTATGTCTAGCCTCATTCTGATTAGAAATTGGGAAAAATGCTAGAAAATTATGCACTGCCCTCAACATTTGGAGAGACAGAGGAGCCTCCCCTTCTGTCATCGGTGGGACACCATCCTCACTAATTTGTCAGCCCCCCGTCCTTGCACTGCTAAGGGATCGTGACACTCCCAATAACCATCAGTATCAACCTGGGGGCTTGAAGGGACATGCAGAGTCTCAGGAACCCTCTCCACCGACTGGCTCAGACTCGGGGAGGGGGCGGGGATTGGGGGGTGGCCTCAGCAATGCACAGCTCTCCAGTGATTGATGCTTCTGCTGATTTAAGAACCATCACTTTAAAAGAATGTAGCCCAAAATGCTTGACTTGCTTCTATCTTTGGACTCGTAAGACAAATGCCTCTAACTATTATTTAAGGAGGTACAGCCAGTATATCAAGCAGAGGAGAAAGCACAAGCTTTAGAACAAGGTATATCCAAGCTCAAATTCCCGTTTTTAGCCTTGCTAGCTGGTGGCCTTGGCAATTCCCGTTACCTGCCCACATCTCAGTTTCCTCATCTGTTAGGTGGGGGTGGCCCTGGCTTTCTTGAATATCCTGTTTCAGAGATTTGAGATAAATGCTGTAACCTGCTGAGCTCAGCGCCCGAGATGTAATCAGTCCCCATCAGTGGGAGCTGTGATTTGATGCCTGCAACTGCCAAACATTCAGGTTTGTAGCGAGAAAGTTCCTTTGGACGGTCTGTGCCAGCCAGACCCCTTGCCCACATGGCTTTCACACCGACCGGTCACCTGGAAACTGTGTCCCGCTGGCCTCCAGCACAACTGCACGGGGCAGCCACTTTGTGTGTTTCTCTACCCCCCCTTCATCGATGCATGACTCATTGCTTCGTTCATGTCTCCATCTGTGCGTAGAAACCTAGGCAAGCAGCCATTCCTAGGGACATTGCAGGACAACCTCATTGAGATGGACATTCTCAGCGCCTCCCGCCATGATGGGGCTTACAGTGACGGGTAGGTGACATCCCCATGCTGCTCCCCTCTGTGTGCGCTCCCCGCGTCTCCTGCACTTGCATGCAGACCCTGAGACCTTTCCCTGGGACCTCCTGAGGGAAGTGATGATGCCATGTTGCATGCCCATCCCCAAGTCCATGTTCAACTCGCAAGAGTTTATCCTTGGGAATACCCTGTCCCCCAGCATATTAACAGCCGTCATGTTAATATGTAGTTCCTGGCATCTCATCGGCTGCCTCTGCCATTCTGAAAGCCATCTCATGTAGCAATTTCTGTGTAGCACAGGTCCTGTGTTGTGTGGATTCTGGCCCTGGGTATGGATTCTGTGGCCTGAGGGATCTTGTACCCCAGGAGGGTACAAGATTCCCCTAAGATTTTGGGGGATTGCAGTGCCAGCAAACGCTCCCATTTCCCAGGCTGTGTACAGATCTTCCTATGGCCATGGTTAAAGCCAAGGTGCGCAGGATCTCCTGACACCCAGTTTGGCCAAAACCATGTGCTTAGCCATGACCACACTGCCCTCGGGCTGTCACTGGGCTGTAAGGTGCAGTTGCCCGGCTGTGCTCACACATAGCTTTTACTGCGGGCTTGGCAGGCAGCCATCTGGCTCCTAGGTAGAGTGTTTCAAAGGCATTTGCTGCCGTTGGCTGTGTAACAACCACTCAGGGACTCTTAACCATGGCAGGACTTAGTGATGGTTCCTTGGCTCCCACCTCTCTCAACCCCCTTTAAAAAGAAACATAATCCATTCCTCAACCAAGGTACACTGGCAACATTGGTATCGGAAAAAGAAGAAAATGTGGGTTCCATTATCTCCAGGGTACAGAACAGGACTTTAGACACTTTCCAAGTTACTGTGGTAACTTCCAAGAACAGCTAGTTCAGTCCCCCAAGAGACTACATCCCAGCCCCAGCCCTTCCCAGGAAAAGGATCTCAACACCCACCTTCTGTCGAGTTGGTAAACCTTCTGCCTTGGCTTGGGTGGTTTTCTTCATGGGTAGGTCTTTCCCATCCGTGTTCCGTGGAAATGTGTCTTCGTGTGCCCTGTTGTGTGGTTTTCTGGTACGTGGTCTCTTTCTCTGTCCCTCCTGTCTTCTCTGTGGTGATTCTCTCTCTCCAGGCTCTTCTGCATGCTTCTACTGCTGCCTCTGTCTTCCAGGTTGACTTGGGTTCTTGGTGAGTCGGCAGACCCTAACGCCCCTCCCCGGCTTTTCTCCGCCCACAGGCACTTCCTCTTCAAGCCAGGAGGCACCTCCCCGCTCTTCTGTACCACCTCCCCAGGGTACCCGCTGACCTCCAGCACAGTGTACTCCCCTCCGCCCCGACCCCTGCCACGCAGCACCTTCGCTCGGCCAGCCTTCAACCTCAAGAAACCTTCCAAGTACTGTAACTGGAAGTGCGCGGCCCTGAGTGCCATCGTCATCTCTGCCACGCTGGTCATCCTGCTGGCTTACTTTGTGGGTAAGCACCTCCCTCACCCCAGTTTCCTTTGGTTCCCCTTTGGCCCAGAGGGCAGTGATTAAGACAGCTGTGGACACTGAAAGCACGCTGACACAGTGCCAGCAGGGTTGAGCCAAGCAGCCCCAGAATGTTGGACTGACCTGCCCCCCCCCCAAACTGTAAAGTCCGCTTTTCGGGCCCTCTTCTCCTCCCTCTGCATTTAGACCACAGGGAGCTTAGCATCTGCTCTCTCATGCAAAGGATGCATGGCGTTGAGGCAGGCACACTATGGCTGACATTTGCAGTGGTGCTCTGTGATGTCACGCATGCCAATGAGTCGTGTCAGTAAAGTGACAAGATGGAGAGGCTGGTCAGTAGGAGGCCTCTCCTCTTGGCACCACACAGCTGCAGTGAGAAGCAAGAAGAGGCTGGAATGCCTGGTACTGGAGGGCAACTGCTAACAATTGGGTTTTGCCAACCTCAAACCAGGACAGCGGGCATGAGGGTGAGGGTGTTGCAAGGCAGCCGCAGATACTATGGGAGCCCAGGACCTGGAGTGTGGTCAAGAACCCGGGAAACCCCACTGAGCTGAGTTTCGGGGCCAGCTCCCACAGGATGGTTCCCCCCTACCTCGTCTATTTCCTCATGCATTTCCAGCTCGTTCTGGTTTGTTGCTCTAAACCCTCTCTTTGGTCTTCTCCCAGGCAAGATACTAATCTAAGGAGATTCTATAGACATTGTGTAGAACCCACTGTTTCTGTGTAAACCAGACTTAATAACAGCCTCTAGCATGGGCGGGGTTGGGGGGGGAGTCCTTCACCCACTATCCTTTCCAACCTTCATATTCTATATTTCTGACATTTAAGGTAGGTCAGGTCAGTTTGAGAGACCTTGAACCCATGCTAAGGAATCTGTAAGGAATCTCATGCAATGATTCTGTAAACAGATGGTTCTCTTTCAGTATAAGCACAACAGAAACCGAACAAACTGGCAGAGGCCAAAAAAGACAGCACACCACCCATTGTGGTAAAGGACTTTGTAACCAGCAGAGCCATTGTAAGTGAGACAAGAACTGTCTTGAGAGGGGGTTGGCACTGTCACTAGGAATTAATAGAACATGGGTGCTGTGTGTTTGGGGTATAGAGAAGGAATTCAAGCCTGGATGGGGGCTTGGGTGATGTGAGCTAAAAGATTATCTCTCGTGGGATTCTTGACTTTAAAAACCAAGTTATCAGATGGATGATGTCCTGCAAACAAGAAGGTCTCCTTAAATATCTAGAGTGATAATAAACCCCTCTGATTTTTCAGGTCTCTTTTCCCCTCGTGAATATTGGCACACATGTTTCATCTCTTTTTCTATGTGATTGATTAGCTGTTGCTGCCTGGAAAATTGTGTTGAGAAGGCTTCTGAGGCTATATTCAGGCCCAGTGAAAGAGTCTCTGTGATTGATTAGTGATGTCTGTCATGGTCACAGGCATGAAGAATATTGATAACATGCCATATATTTGCTATCACTGCTATGGGTCATTGAGTAAAAGGAACAGCCAAACTGAGAGAGGTCAGAGCCCATCAGACTTATGAGAGGTACATGATTGATGTAGATTGGGTTACAAAGGAGGGCTGTGGGGTTTCAAACACCATCACCTGACACGAAAGTTTCCTCCCGGCACCAGTACTGTGTCCCCACCAGCCACTGTCACAGGCTGACATTGTTGTTTTTGACCAACATTGTTATATTTCCTACCGAAGAAGACTTCTGAACAAAAAGTGTCACTGTTCATCAGGAGTCAAATAGCTTTCTGCATATAGATGTCAACTTGTTTTTCACTGAAGTCTTAAGGTTAACAATGTGTACCCTACTTCAGGGAGAAGGAATAAATCTATATATTAAGTAAACTCTTCTGTATTACTTAATCTTAAAGGACTTCTTTTTCTCCCATACATTAAGAATACCTCTCCTGACTCGCCTGCTGCTCCCCTCAGCAGTATAGTTCTGTCAATGCGCCTGTTCTGTTCCCAACTCTGTCTCTGGTGAATCCTCTCACCCCCCACATCTCTGGCCTGTACCCCATTTCTTGTATGCATAAATAAATATTTAAAAAAAAAAAGAATACATGGCCAGTCTACAGCTACTAAAGATAGGGACCGCTGTTGGAGGTAGTGAATGCACTGTCATTGGAAGGATACAAATAGAACTTGATGACCAGTAGCAAGAATAGATTCACTTACTGGCTAGGGGTTTTCAGCAGATGGTCTTAATGTTTTCCTTCCAACTTTGATAGTCTTTGAATCTGTGATTTTGTGAATTTTATTTTGCATTCAGCAGACCATACAGGATGCCCGCTTGGAGCCAGGCGCAAGTCCTACCCTTGGTGTGTTCACAGCTTAGTCAAGGACACCACCTGCAGTAATTGAGACAATTTAGGAGCTCTGGGAGCACCCAACTCCCCACCAGGAGGATAAGGGAAGCCGTCCTGTTTTAACTGAATCCTAAAGTAGGTGAAAACTGAAGTAGACATGCAAGAAGGGCATTTCAACTAAGGGACATTTCAATGACTTGAAGGATGATATGGTGGCAAAGACATTTTCTCTATTTGAAGCTTTTGAAAGGGATGGGAAGCATGATTGGAGCTAATGCAGGAGAGTTTGATTAGATTATGAGGATCAGTTTGGAGGACAAATTAAGGCCCTTACTGATGGACAATGAGGAACCATTGATAAACCTTTTTAAAGCAGTGGCAGGACATGGTCAGATTTAACTTAGAAAGATTAGAGTCACAGAAAGAAGGGCAGGCCCTATTGTAGTAACAAGCCAGGAGAAACTGAGGGCTCAACTAAGATGGTGACAATGTTGGTAGAGAGGTATGAGGTAGGTATGAGGTCAACTTAGGAAAATGTGTGTCAAATTAGGAGTGTTCAGTCCATTACTAGTAGATCTTTGCTGAGATTAAATCCATCACTTTGGTAAACCCCTATCCATGTAAAAACCTTAAGATCACACTCTAACTAGCAAGTCAGAGAGGCAACCTGGGGTATTCCCTTTGTTAGCAGAGGACTGGGAGCTGAGCCTGGCTCCACAGCCTGAATGCCATTTCCAGCTCTGCCACCTTGTCACTGTTTGACCTTGGGCCCTGGGCCCTTCTCTTTCGGAGCCCTCTTTTCTGATCTAGAGAATAAACATGACACATGACCTGAGAAGGATATTAGTGAGGCTGGAGTAAACTGATGCAGGTAAAGGCACTGCAGGTGTAAGGCTGTCCCTGCACCCTACCTTTCCTCAAGGTGGGGAGAGGGATGTCTGCTTTCCGCCAGCTGCTGGAGTAAGGGATGTGCATCTTGCTGCTTGGCCACAATCACAGGCTTTGATGACTAACTTGTAAGGAACTATAAATTATTAAAAATCAAATTAATTGTCTCAGCCAAGCACAAATATTCTCAACAAAGACTGTTTTCCAGCAGACCAACTGATCTAATCAACAGGCAAAAGCACAGATACTTAATTAGATTTTTGATGAAAAATTGTGTTTAATTTCAAGTATAATCAATTATTAATTGCTGTAATGAGTGAGTCTGACCGGGTTTACTAATTAACTCATTTAAAAATTATGAATAACCTTTTCATTTGTAATTATTTTCTACATCTTATCAAGTTCCACATAAGAATTACATCACCTCACCAGCAGAGGGGGAGGCAAAAACAAGAGAGTGGAAAAGAATTGTTCTTTTGCTGCTGTTGGCTCAAGGCTGCCAAATTGGGATGATAACACCAGCAGATCCATTTGACATTCTCTTTTTCAGCAGGACAGTTTCTTGGGAAATAAGCAACCCTAACCCTAACCTTTCATTTAGGGAGACATTTGCAGTTATTTTCATGGGATGAAGAGACAATGTCTGTGTGCTCATACCCACAAGGCTCCAGGACCTGGTCCCACCTTTGGGCCTTCCTCTCCCTCTGCCCGCCCCTTTACTCGGCCTCTCTGGCCTGGGCTGGGAATCCTGGGAGGACCCTTAGAAAGTGCATAAGAGAAGATGTGCATTTTTGTCGCCCTTTGGGAGAGGTGGCCATGAGGAGGCTGGCGGTGCTTTATTTACCCACCTTCCCTATGAAGGTCCTCAGATCCTTTTCAGTCTCCACGTCCACCCCTACCTTCTATTTTCTGAAGAAGAGAAACCTTCTTGTACAAAAAATAGGGAAAGACTGATAGGAAGGATGGATAGTTGTGAGTTCGGCCATAAAACTTGTACAGCCATGGCAACTGTTTGTATTTTTATTTTTTTAAGTAATTTTATTTATTTATATGTATTTTATGTCATTGTTCATTTTTACACAGTTTGCTTTCTCCTCTTGGGTGTAGTCCCCGTAGAATTCCTACCACCAGGTCACCCTGCACCATCTCCCTTGTGCTCTTCCCTCCCCTGTTTTGATTCCTCTCCCTCCCCCTCCCTGCAGAATGTCTCTGATTCATAGCAGCTGTTTTTAAAACATGGTCACCGCAACAACAGTCGGCGTGGTTAGAGCAGTGAAGAGATCCTGGGCCATTCTGCGCATGCTCTTTACTTGCCCTCTCGGGTCCGTTCCAACTAGTTTGTATTTTTGCAGTGAAATCTCACAGGACCATTTTGGGTTCTAATTTCCACCGTACAGATGATGCCACTGAGACCCAGTGACTGAAGTGACCCTTCCCATGGCAAGGTAACTGGCAGGACTCTGACCCATCCGAGCCCAGGCATTCAGACTCGTGAGCTGATGCTTTTTTTTTTTTTTTTCCTCTTTTGAGCTCAGTCTTAAGGCCCATGACATAACTTTCCCATCTTAGTATCTGATGCTGTGGTTTCTTACCATGTGCCTGGCATTGGTCCAAACCCATTACATGTATCATCTCTCTGAACACTCATGACAATTCTGTGAGATGGGCATTGTTTTCTAGAAAAGGAAACCAAAGTTTAATGAAGTAAACCACTTGGTTGAAGCACAAAACCAGTAAATGACAGGATTTCAAAGGCCATCCTTAGCCGCTGC